TCTCAGATTTATCAAGTCTCTCTTCGACAACATTAAGACGCTCTGTCAAATCAACAACTCTGCTTTCCATATTATTCAGCCTACACAGTGTGTCATCGAGTTTTTTGTTGATATCTGACATGTTTTCAGTCATATTTGCAAAATTATCAGAAACTGTTGTTGATAAAACCTTAATAGCTCTCAAAATACTATCCAAGTTAACAGAGGTTTGTGAAGATTGAGAATTATTTGAAGGAGACAATGACCTAGGTTTACAACATTTGGTGAACGACCCATCAGGCAAAGTAGACAGCTGTAACGCACAGCTGGGATGATAAGGAAGATTACACTTCCTACACAAAGTAGGAATAGCACGTGTAATATCTTTACCACATTTTGCACAATTTTCAACACTAGAGGCCATTTTTGCACACAAATAATCGTTCAAATAAAAATAAAAAGTAAATTGAGCGAAAGCAGTTCCAATTTAAGTTACATAAACAAAAAACTTCACACAAGTATATCAGTCCAATGTTAGATTAGAAAAATTCAAATCAGAGAGCCAAGTTAAGGCAAATGGTGCAGATAATAAAAAACTTCCACTAAAAACCAGCACAAAATAATGTTTATAACTATAAGGTTGTAAAAGAACAGACCAAACTTAAACCGTTTTATTTAAACAAAATCAACCGAGACACATGTGAACACGTGTTTAGTAGCTGCCACCTAGCGGCAATTTTTTTTTTCTTTTTTTTTTTTTTTTAACAATGTTACCCTTAACGTCAAAACTTCAACCCCCTCTACTTTCTACAAATATTTTTTTAATGAGTTTATATTTTAGGGATTTATTACTATCATATAGGACAACAATTTACCAAAGTATGAAGCCAATCCCAGAACATTGACTTTTTGGGCTGGGGCGATTGAAAAAGAATCTCTCATATGTGAAACTCGATGATTCCCTGAGTTCATTAACCATAATATTATGGTAAAAATTTTATTCCCTTTAAAAATATTAAATATCAAAGTAGGAGGTTCACAATGTGATTTTGTAACCTTAAATTTTTCAATTTTTTTAAAAACGCTATTATTAAAAAACTATTAAAAATTAGATGTTGGAACTCACCAAAAACATAAATCACTTTTTTCTGCACAGAGGAACGAAAGAATTATTGCAAAAATTTATTATTTTTGGATAATATACGATTTAAAAAAAAATTTTATTTAAATATTCTCAAGATTTTTATTTACTTATAACTTTTTTGTCGGTGCTCCGAAAAAATTGAGGTTTTGCACAAAGATTTTTTATAATATTCTTTACCTTCTATTAAAATCTTACGAAGGTGTTTTGCTTCGTTTTGGAGATAATAATTTTAAAAAAATTTTATCTAAAAGGTTAATTAAAAGACTTGAAGTTAACTAACCAAATTCAAACTGCTCCATTTTTTATAAAAATATATTAAAATGTTGCGATTTGAAATTGGTCAGTTAACTTCAAGTCATTCGTAACCAGTGACCTCAAAAACCCCTAGGTACCAAATTTTATAGAAATCAAACTAATTTTTTTAAAGAATTGTCCGCCATATTGGATCCGCCATTTTGAATTTTTAAAAACTGACTTCATATTCGTAATCAGCGATCCTAAAAACACACGAATATCTAGTTTCAAACAATTTCGTTGAAATTTAACAAAAATATCCGCCATATTGGATCCGCTATTTTGAATTTTTAAAAACTGACTTCATATTCGTAATCAGCGATCCTAAAAACACACGAATATCTAGTTTCAAACAATTTCGTTGAAATTTAAAAAAAATATCCGCCATATTGGATCCGCCATTTTGAATTTTTAAAAACTGACTTCATATTCATAATCAGAGACCCAAAAAACTTTAAAATCTTTAATGTCAATAATTTTCAATGAAAAATACATTTAATGCCAACTTTTTTAACATTCTGCCCCACTGTGCGCACAGGCTAATACGCTAACCATTACGCTACCCTAACATGGGAATATAAATACAAAATTGATTTGATAACTTGCGACTGAGGAAGATTTAAAACCTGTATTGCTTATATAAAAAAAACAATAAGACTATGTGATCTATAAAAATTTTAGAGTTTTTTAAATTTAACTACATACTTAAGTATGAACATATCATTGTTCCGATATATGCGATGGAACATTAGTTACAAAAAATTTGTGGCTGTAGTGTTACAGAAATGTTATGTAACACTGTTGCAGAATTGTTCCCATTTTTAGGTATAAATGTCATCCAGAACTAATCTGCAACAAAATTTTAGAACAGCTACATAACATTTGTTGAATATTAGAAATTTAAACTAAAATCAGAGTGCGCATGCGTGAGTAACCGGGAGTTGGTAACTGAGATTTGGCTTTATGGTGGGGGAGAGTTCCTTAGAGAGATTATTTGTGAAAATCTTTTGGCCGTTGTGCCGCGCAGTAGTGATATTGTTTGATGGTTAAAGAAACTGTAGTGAAAATATCCGAAAGGTCTGGGTAGACGAAATATTGTAAAACCAATTTCGATTGTAAACGACCGCGTGTCTGTGAAAACCAGCAATTTTATTATTTTACTATTTTAAATTGTAATATTCTTTCAAATAAAGTATTGTTTTCTAAATTAAATTAAAATACAACACATTTTTCAGACACAGTTCTAGATCTACGTTGGAACGTCAGTTACAGATCATTTGTGATGATTGTGTTACAGAAATGTTACATTACATTGTTACAGAACTGTGAAGTTAGCATAATATAGAATAGATCGGTAACTCCCTTGTAACAATGTTCTAGAATTCTGTTACAATGAGGTTATATAACAGATTCATAACCAGCTTGTAACAAACGTTCTATAAAACTGTGTCCTCACTGTTATATAACGTGTTTGCTGGGACGCGTTTAAAGTTTTGACATATGAAAACTTATAAAAAAATGAAATCAACGTTAATCTGTGATGCCTGCACCGTAATATTGGCCTTCTAAATTAATATTGGCTTCATCTTTGGCCTTTCGAGCGGCTGTGAGCGTAAAAGAACGCAATTGTTACCACGGTAAAAGAGAAAATAGCCGATGGCGCTATCAAGCACTCGAAGTGCTTCACTTCGAACACCTTCTGCAGATTTCGATTTCTTTCACATAAAATTACTTTGAAATCGCTTTTGCTGATATAATTTCTATTCTACACATCATAAAGTACCGTTTAAGAAAACAAAAAAAATCGATTTTTTTCGGATCAAAGGTGTCACTCCCCCTTAACTAAAATTAAAAACAACCAAAATTCTATTAGTATATTATATCACCTCGTGCGTGAACGAAGGGTTTTGAAAAAAAAAAAAATTTCTAGAAATCGCGATGATTTTTCCTATGTGTGACTATCTATTGCATGTATAAAGAACCACTAAAAATTTCAGCCCGATCGGTTTAATGGTGGAAAAATCGTAGTCACCGTAACCGTTACGGTGACTACGATTTTTCCACCGTTAAACGGTAGTTCTCAAACATTACGATTTCGAGATAATAGCCTTTAAAGTTTCAATATACTCTTCTTTGTGAAGCAGCGGGTTCAAATAACGAAAACCTCAGAAAAATCAAAAAAAGTATCCTAAAAACAAAATTTTTGAATTTTCAAGGTCAAATTTCTTGAAAACCTATGGTGATGGAGCACTTCTAATTACGAATTCGTGTTCAGCGTCAAAAAACCTATAAGAATCACCGAATGAGGTCCCAGAAATAAAAATGCTGTTGCTGTTGTTATTCAGGAATAAACATTTTTGAAAATTCCAGTCCATTTAAGGGGTTAAACCACTCTAGAATTTTCAAAAAATCAAAAAATTTTTTTTTGCTTTAAAAGGTGCCTAAGGGTGTATAGAATAAGAAACAATATCAATTATAAGTCGAAACACTTTTTAATTTGGAAGGTCAATTATACGGCGCAGGCATTGCAGATTGAAGGTATATCCAAAAAGTCGTAAGTAAAACTTTAAACTTGTTTTTCTCAAAACTACATTTTTTGTGCTGGCCGGAAACATGACTTTTACAAATCTCAACCGATTTACTTAAAAATTAAACTGTAGCTTCTCAATAACATTATCTAGAGAAAGACGTACAGATTTTTTTTTATGTTGCATATTTTTTTTGTTATAAACAATTTAGTGTCAATTTTTTAAGTAAAAAACTCGGTTTTTTCTTAAAATGTTCGCCATTTTTGCAAAAATCAATTGAAAAAAAATCCCCTACGTCTTTCTCTAGCTTTTAAGATGTAAAAATAGAAAGAAATTTGTTTTTTGTTCTATGATGAAAATTGGAGCTAAAACCTTTCCGGCCGCGACGTGATTTCTCTCAGAAAGGGTTCCTATCACGTACCTGTAAATTTGATATTTTAAAAAAAAATAATTAATGAAGTGTATTTTTTTTCTCTTTAAAATGTACCTAATAAAGATATGTAAACATATTTTTCAGTACATTTAAACTTTTCTTGAAAAAAATTTCTAAAGTTAGGCCTTTTTTTGACGCTCTAGAGTGGTTTAACCCCTTAAAATTATTACTGAAAATTGTTTAAATAATTAACAAAATTTATAAATTAATGAAAATTTAACTATGTTAATTCGACAGGAGATAATGAAATTTTCTTTGCAGCATCTTATTCTAAATATAATTTGTAACTATTGCCAAAAAGACAATTTAAGAGCCCGTATTTTAATTAAAATATATAGCGATTTTTATTTTGCGCTGCAACGTGAGTTTTCACCCTGGACCTGCTTCTCTTGGAGCGCTAAATTGGCTTTACCTTTTTATTTCGATCAGTTTTCGAGTAATTAATTTTTTCAAAAAACATTTAAAATTTTTTAATAATTAATAACTTTTTTAAAAAATATTAATGGATGTTGTTTCTAACATTATTTACTATTAAAATAAAAAGTTTAGCTAAAATTGAAATATCCATGGTTAATGGTTGATAAACTTCAGGAAACCTTACCCTGTTTCAAGTTTTAAGTACCTGCATTTGCCCTCGGTGGAACTGCTGGCCTTTTCGGCTCTTTTGGAGACTCTTTTTCCGGCCCGGGTTCAGAAGATGGACTGACAACTGGTTCCGGTGGAGGAGTTTTGCTCACTGCAAGAGGAGGAAATCCTGGGGGCGTTGGAAGTTCTTCAAGAGGTACAGGCTTTCCTCGCGCGTATAATTTAATAGCGTCTTCAAATTGCTTGCAAATTCTGCCATACCTTCGGGCTTTTGATGTGTTTCCTTCACCCTCAGCGGCGACTTTTGTTCGTCGATAAACCTCCAAGCGCTCCTTTAGTGCGGATTCTAAAGCTGAACCAGTCAACGGTCCCTGGGATTCTGCTGCTTAAACAATTTTTTTTATATTATCTAAAAATATTTAATTAGAAATAGTGAGAAAAATTATATGGTCAAAATAAGTGAAGGAAGAATTTAAATTATGTTTGGTCCAAAATGGTATTTTTTCAGTGTGTATAAGTAAATATTTATAGGATTAAAAATTTTATTTATTTTGAAAATATTCTTGGAAACGAGAACACACACACCACGTGAATTTTTCGTTTCAAAATGTTTTGTAACAGTTTTTATTTCAATCCGTAAAATTATCTAAATTTTTTATTTCGAATAGATTAATATCGTAATAACCTCCTTTACTTATCGTATAATAATATTCTAAAATGATTAGGTTGATACTGTGTTAGTAAATAATATTTATTGGCGCCTAAAAAATGGTATTATTAATCATAAGATGGACAGTTGGTGATTCAGACATTCAACTTAAAGTTTTACAATAGTTTTATGTAAAAAATTCGAATTTTACCAAATACAAATTTAGCAGAATTCCCATTCATCGGAATTTTAAATGATTCGAATTTTTAAATACCAGAATTTCCAATTCATCAAGTCTTCATTTCTCCAAATATGTATTTATACGAATTATTATTTGACAGAATTCTTAAAACGCCAAATTTCCATTTGTCTGAAACTGCAAATAGTCGACAAATAATAAGTGGCAGAAAGATTTAGGTGCGAATTCAATGATTATTTAAAAAATTAAAAACTAGCTTGTCTCATAAAAGCCCCTGGTGTACCAGAATAGTCCCGATTGACGGTAGCTAAAAAGTTTGTTATGTAAAACTTGGTTTAAAAATAAATTCATGCGCTCTGCTGTTTTCATTTATTTTGACCATCATAACTCAAAGGAAAGCAAAATCTTACGTGGCGATTCTTCAGCAGAAGGAGCTTGTTGCGCTTCACTTTCTTCTTTCGCAGACGTTGACGGTATTGGAGCCGCCATTGTTTCTGGCAGTGTAGGACTACCGGGCATATCGGACAAATCCACGGCATTTCCACTACTGAATTCAGCAATTACTAAATCAAATTGTTTTATAAGTTTCACATATTGAATTGCTTGTTCCGCATTGCCTGCCCTTTTCCAAGCGACAGCCGCAGCTCTATATTCTTGTTGGCGATTTTTTAACAAATTTAAAGTTTCCTTATCGATTTCAACAACCGAAGTACTTGCAGTTGGTTCAATAAGAACGTCAGCTTTCGGACTTTCAACCTCTGCAACCACAGGAACCGCTTCCAATTCTTCTGGCTCTACAATTAGAATAAATAAATGTTATTTTTCATTTATAGAAGTTTTATTAATTAGAATTTAATTACCAGCTGGCTGTTCGGCTACAGTTGAAATAGCGGAAGATGGAAGAATTGGAGGAATATCGTCAGTGTCAATTTGTTTGCCAGCTTTTGCCCTTGATAACATTTCATTCAATGTTTTAACGCCTCTTCCATATCTTCGTGCTTTCGACGTGTTTGTTGCTTTCTCTTCTGCAGTTTTATACATCGACAATCTTTCTTCTAATAATTTTACAGTTTCTTCTGAAGACGCGTTGGTAGCTTCTTCTTCTTTTTCTTCTCCTGGTGGTTCTTCTGGAGATTCGGGTGATATTTCCTCACCCGTAATCAGGTGAAGTTCATCCTATGAATAACAAAGAAACAAAAAATTGTTTAAATGACGAAAAAATTAAATTTTAATTTTTAAAATGCTAATTAATGAATTTTATTTAAAATCATTTTTGTACCAATAAATCTGGATCGTTTTCGTCACCGGATAATTCTTCATCTGGATCTATGTCTTTTAAACTTTCATTCACCATTGCATTTAATTCTGCATCGGGAATACGTTTGGCACCTAAAATAAATTTAAAAATTTTTGAATATTTTTTGAAAGTAAAAATAATAATAACTTAATAAATTTACGATTAAGAGAAGTAATAAATTTTTTAAATTCATTGTTATTTTACTTTTACGTGGTCGACGTCCAGCGTCGCCTCCAGTAGTCAGTGCGGCCAATTCAGCTTCCAAATCTTCATCATCGTCATCCATTCCTTGGTCTTTTCCAATATCTTCGATCGACGCAGGTACTTCGAAAATCCCATACTAAAAAAAAAGGTTTATACTATTTATCTTTCTATATTAAAATTTATTTAATTCTTTATTATTTATGTTATTATTTTATTATTTATTAAATCTTTTTATAATTTTTAATTATTTATTTATTACTATTCCGTTTATTTTAAAATGAGATGTATCGAAATATCTCGATGGTCGAAAAAATCGAATATAAGAAAAAATGAACTTTGCTTTCCAGAGCATCTAAATCAATATTCATTTTATAAAAATCACCTTAAATTATTGTTCCACATATATATTTTGCATAACTTACTTATTTGCAATAAATATACACTTGCAAAGTATTTATTTGTTGTAAATATTTGCAGCTGTCATGAATCAGACACGAACATAACCTACATTTAGTTTAAATCACTTCATTGGCCCAAGACAAAATAGCGCGCGCTTTTTTAAAATAATGAAATTTATTAAATTAAAATAAAATAATTGTAATAAATTAAATTATTATGAAAATAATATTACCTTGAATAAAAAAATGTTTTTAGTTTTTAAAAAAAATTATTCAACAATTATTATTATTTTTAGACAAATTTTACAAATATAATAGATTATTATTTTTCTCTTTGAAACATTCTCTATAATTACATGCCTTTTGCATTTTGTTAACAATATTATTAAATATTTAATAAAATAATTGTAATAAATTATGAAACATAAATTGAAAATTAAATTTAATGGCCAAAGAATAGAAGCAACAGAGACGGCCAAAGGCCGTCGGAGGCGCTAGTAAATATAAAAAGTTACACAAAAAATACACTAAAAACAATTAAAGAAACTAATTTTATTAAAAACGTGAATTTAATGAAAATTATAACTTCAACTTGATCTAAAGGACTATATTAACTTTTTTTATGAAATTTTCTGTGATTACAGTTTAAACTATTTTAAAGATAATGTGCATTTAACAAATGTAAATTGGTTTTTTTTTCTAAATTATATTAATTTTTTTCTGCTGATTGCTAGCAAAGTGAGGTTTATAATTTGTTCCACTATTATTTCTAAACAATTTAAATTAGTTTAAACTTTAAAAACTTACACATGTTTTTTAAAATAATTATCAAATATTTAAGTATTTTAATTAAATTACTTTAAAATTTTTAATTTTAATGGTTAATGTGTTTATTCAATTACTTTATAACATAACTTCTATACAACTTATTCAAAATAACTTTTATTGTATGGTTTTAAAAAGGTTGTTTCCTCTTCTTTAAAAATATCAAGTCCAAATTTTTGTTTAAAAAAAGATTTTCTTGAAGTTTAAAAAAAATCAATTTTCTTCATTTAGGACATTTTAAAAACTTTTTAATTTGGTCTCAAAAAATAGCATGCTTTATGTAGTTTAAAACATAAATTAGCAAAAAGGGAATATGCACATTTTCAATGTCAAATTTTAACAAAATATATTTTTTAAAGCAAAAATTGTACAATTTGTCTTGGAAAATGTGTTACTCCCAGTTATGCTATGTGATGATAAAGTAGAGGAGAGTGATCAACAATGAGACACCTTTTTTCAAAGACATATTAATATGTCAATTATACAAAGTTTTGAGCTTTTTTTGACATTAACATAAAGTTTGAACTCTTTTCTAGACAATGTACACATTTTTTCTTGTTTTGCAGGTTCGTGTTGTATAATAAAACACAAGGGCGTTTCACCGAAAACTTTTTTTTTGATTTTCTAAAACCTTAACCCGAAATTAGACTCCTTTTGACCTACAAAATGTGTCAGATTTTTTTCACATTTTTTGAAGCTCATTTAAAGGTTGCTATTTTAATTTTTATGTAAAATTTGTGCTTTTTATATAAAAAAATTTATTTTTTATTTCTAAATGTTCAATTTTTTTAAAACCATGCACATTACTAGTAAAGATTACCAAATTAGTAAAAAAAATTATTCCAAGTTAAAAAAAAAGTTTGAAGCTTATTTTTATGGAATTATTGTTTACTACAACTTTCATACTTTTAACCCGCAATCCATTCGGATAATAAGTTGTCAACTAAAATTTTGACAAAATGGTTGAAAATATATTATTAATGATTTTATTTAGCAAAATTTTTATAACACAAAGTTTTAATTTAACACCTCATTGTATTTTAATCTAATTTTCATTTGGCAAAATATTCAATTAACAAAATTTTAACTCAACTGAATTCACATGTAACATAATTTCTATTTAACAAAACTTTTTTTCAATCGTATTTTCAATAGAAATATGTTTTATTTTAACGAATTATTATTTAGCAGAATTTTCTTTTAATAGAATTTCTACCGTAAAATGAGATAAAGTCGGCGTTTGAGGATAAAGTCGGCCGGCGCTTTAAATCATTTTAAAGTTTAACTATTACTTTTTTCCAGAAGAAATACGAGTTTTATTAAAAATGTAGTTAGAATTAATGTAAATTAATAAATGAAATACAATATTTAAGTGTTTAAAGCGCCGGCCGACTTTACCCGCAAACGCCGACTTTACCTCATTTTACGGTACTCAGTTGTATTTTTAAATAACAGAATTTCACCTAATATTTTGGTCTTTTTTATACAGTAATCAATGAATATATGTAAATTAGGCTATTTTGAACAATTATCGATGAAGAAATTGACCTTATCTATATTATTTGTATGGTATTTGTATGGTTAAATTTTATCCGTACAACTCAAATTTAAAATTCAAATTCCAAGGTAAATATGATGTATTCCACGCCAAAGTGAAAGTCCATCTGCAATTGTATCTCCGATTTTTTTTCTTTTAGTACTAACTGAGACTAGCTTCCATGAATTTTTTCAAAGTTTTTTAGCAAGCCGTTTTCGAGTTATGGAATTTTTGAAAATTGGAGAATATTTCCTGACTTTTGATTTTTGAATGCTCATAACTTTATTAAAAATACATCAATTTTAAAAGTATTTTTTAAAAAAAATGTGTGTTTTAAATGTACTTTTCAAAAAAAAATCGAATTTTTTTTAAACGATATTACTATCAAATTTTTGAGTTTTAATGATAAAAAGTAATTTTTCTCATTTGACGTAATGATCGATTTTTTCAAAATTTTTTCAAAAAAACTACCTACTTCTTTTTACGAAACTTTTAAGCTTAGCCCGATAATGGGCAAACAATTTTTACAATATTTCCGGAATTTTTAAACTATTTTGAATTTTTAAATAATTATTTTAATTTTTTTATACTACGTACTTTTATGTATTTTGATGCGCTGATTACAAAAATCATAGTGACAATACCCGAAAATTTTCTTTTTATGTCGAAAACCATAAAAAAGTCCCAAAATTTATGGTTTTTTTCGTTTATTGGGTAAAATATATGTAAAATTAAAAAAAAAACTTTCAAACAAAACTTATAGATCTTTTTAAAATACATTTTTTGTATTTTATGCATTTTTTTTAATTTTTCATATTTCACCCAATAAACGAAAAAACCCATAAATTTTTGGACTTTTTTATGGTTTTCAACATAAAAATCAAATTTTCGGGTATTGTCACTATGATTTTCGTAATCAGCGCATCAAAATACATAAAAGTATGTAGTATAAAAAAATCAAAAATATTTTTAAAAAATTTCTTTTTTAAAAATTTTGAAAAATTCCGGAAATATTGTAAAAATTATTTGCCCATTATCGGACTAGGCTTAAAAGTTTCGTAAAAAGTAGTTTTTTTGAAAAAATTTTGAAAAAATCGATCAGTATGTCAAATAAGAAAAGTAAATAATTGTACACTTATTGTGATTATTAATTAAGAAAACAAAGTATATGTAACAATGACTGTCAATAACAAAAAAATATTAAAATTTCATAGACTTTTCAAAAACAAATATAGAATTTTGTCGAAAGAATAATTAGTAAAACAAAAAAAAATATAATTTCAAGTGTAAAAATGTAGTATTCTTTTATTCTGTAAATTGTGCGCTGAAAAATGTCATATTTTTGTTTATCATCCAACAAAATAACAGAAGCGAAAAATAATATGTGAAATAACCTAAAAAAAAGTGTATAACAATCACCTGAGCAAGACTGCCAGCGGGTCTAGGACGTCGTTTCACTTCTTTCTTTTTAAACATGACGTGTTCAACTGTCACTAATGACAATTATAATCACAAAATTTGAAGTTAAAATATTATAACAACAGTTATCCCAATTATAAAATTTACCATAAAATTTTCTTCAAAATATCTCAACTTTTGTATAACACGAAATCAATTAGTCAACAAGGCACACGATGAATCATTCATATTATCTCTTTACTTAAAACCCTTTCCTTCTCAGTTTAAAATTACCTATATATAAAACACTGACAATCTTGGAAATTTATATTTTCCTAGCAACAATTCAATAAACACAACAACTGTCAAAAAACGAATGCGAAAGTTACGGTAATAATTTCCGACATTTTAAAAGCAGGGTTGTGCAGTCATGCAAAAATTGAAAGTTACCGACGTATGTTACGTATGTACAGGAAATATTACTATAAGTTCTCAACCCTGAAGAAATATTGTGCGTTAGCCCAATAAGATGTATATTTTAGTCGGACAATGGTAAACATTGATAGTTTATGTTTTGTAAAAATAATTGAAAACTTAAAGTTTTTTTTGTTAAATAAAAATACAGTTATTAATACTGTTACCCAGGGAATGATTTTTCAAGATGGGAAAATGTTTCTTGTGCGGAAAGTTACCTGATTCACAAAACAACTTAACTTTACATAAGTAATAAAATTAACGTTGTGTCTATTTAGCCCGCTAACGGGAGGAATAGTGGCCATAGATTATTTAGCCCGTTAGCGGGAGAAATGCAAGATTTTGGATATTTAGCCCGCTTATTTTAAAAATCACCAAAATGAGAACTATTTAGTTTGCAGTAAGTATATTTAAAATATTTTTTGTTTTTCTTATTTACTTATTCTAGAATAATAAAATATATTTTATTATATAAAATGTATGTTAAGTGCAATTCAAAATAAGGCAATCGTTTATATAAATATATTAATGTGATTTAATACAAAGTTTATTTGCTCCAAAATGAATTGTTTTGGTAGGGTTGTTTATTTAAAATATATTATATTATTTAATTTAATTTATTGTAAGAAAACTGTTTAACTACAGGTATATTTATTTTTTAATAAATTATTAGAATGTAGTTTATGGAATTGTTTTCTATTGAAACTTTAAATTATCAAATAAAAATTAATTTTTGAAATACAATTAAAATTCTTGTATTTTGTAAATACGTATGGGGCATTCCACGGGAAATTTTCATTCAAAAATTTTTTTGTCCGAATCATGTTTTTTTAAATCTATATGAAAAATAAGAAAATACGTATTTTTTTTATTTTTTGTGATAAAAATGAAGGAAGTTATGATTTTTTGAAATTTAACGTCAACAAAGGTAGTGTGATTTTTCAACATTTTTAAAAAACTGAAGTTACCAACGTTGATTCAACGAAAAAAAAAGATAAGGATTCTAATTCCCATCAAAGAAATTTATTTATTTTTAACCCTTCATAAACTATTTTCTAATAATTTATTAAAAAATAAATATACCTGTAGTTAAACAAGTTTCTTACAATAAATTTGGTTTTTACCACAACTTTAATTAAATAATTACCTAATTAAATTAAATAATATAATATATTTTAAATAAACAACCCTACCAAAACAATTCATTTTTGATTAAATAAACTTTGTATTAAATCACATTAATATATTTATATAAACGATTGCCTTATTTTGAATTGCACTTAACATACATTTTATATAATAAAATATATTTTATTATTCTAGAATAAGTAAATAAGAAAAACAAAAAACATTTTAAATATACTTACTGCAAACTAAATAGTTCTCATTTTGGTGATTTTTTAAAATAAGCGGGCTAAGTAATCTATCGCCACTATTCCTCCCGTTAGCGGGCTAAATAGACACAACGTACAATAAACATAACCTCACTTTACATATTATCTATTTATATTTGCAAATAAGTGCTATTTTTGAAGCAATATTTTGGTCAATTAAAAAAATAAACCAAATTTGACTTTCATGATACATTTCTGTTAATTTTTTTTTTTTTTTTTAAAGTTTATGTTTAAAAGAAAACAGTTCATTAATCATAATATTATGGCTTAAATTTTTTTTGTATGTAACTAATAATCAAAAGAGAAAGGTTCTGGACTTTATTTTGTAATTTTTAAAAAACGTTGATAATCAAAAAATATTTAATATTGAAACTTACCAGAAATATAAATTTCTTGATTCTGTACTGAAAAATGATAAAATAGTTCTAGAAATATTCGTCTTTAAAATAAAATAAGCATTTGAAATTTTATTCTTGAAAAGTTTTTGAAATTTTTCAGAGCTTGTAATTATTTTTGAGATGTAAAAATTTGAGGTTTTGCAGATATTTTAATATTGTAATAATTTAGTTGCTATTAAAAGGTTAATATTTTATTGTTAAAGTATCACTTGAAGTTAATAAATTAATATTTCTTTCTGTAATTTAAATAACAGACAATTGAAAATTAACCTTTTTAGATAAAAAAATTTCAATTTTACATTTTCAAAATGAAGTAAAACACCTACGTTAAGTTTTAATAGGAACTCAATTTTATCAATGTTATACAATTTTATTCTTTTTCTTAAATAATTTTTATTTTAATAATAAATATTTTTATAAGACCTATTACCGATATTTTGATTTTAAATACTTATATTAAATTAAGTTTTAAATTCTTTTCGAATTTTTAAAATAAGTGAACTCCTCTACACAGAAAAAACATAGTCTAATTTTTGTTGCAACTCAAAATGATTCAATGCTAACCGATATAGAAAGTAGCGCCACCAAACTGGTTCATTATTGTTGCACATCAAAATGAGCCGCCTAGGAGGCTCATTCTGAGTTCAGTTTTTTTTTTGTACTTATATGATGGGAGTCGAACACGACATCTTTTTGTTGTTGGTGAGATGCTCTGACCCATTTAGCTGAACAGGAGATCAAGAGCTTATCTTGTTTCAAAAATTCTAGGTCCGTTAACCTGGCTTGTCCACATTGTCCGATCTGGATAAAACCTATTAGAAAATTAAGGGCTAATTTATTGCTAATTTAAAGCCCCAATGACGAATTTAATGTTTAGCATTTTCTTCGAAAAACTTGTGGACTAGTAAAGAGTCATAAATTAGCCCTAAATTCCTATGTACTTTTTTATAAAAAAATTAGGTTTGAAATACTCAGGGGTAATTTTTAAAATTAGTGGATCACTTTTGAACATTTAATTTAGTTCTATTTAAGAGCCTTAAATTAGCCCTAAATTCCTAAGTACTTGTTTTTTGAAAACATTGCGTTTGAACTAATTAGGCAGCCCGTGCCTGAACCAAAAAAAAGTTTGCCTAAAATGGATTCAAATCCTAGCTGCTCCCTTTTTCGAGATATCGGTATTTTCGTTTATTTAATTTTGCGAATATTCTAAAAACACTCAGTTTAGAACTTGTAACTACATGTAGGCAAACAAATCTTACAAAAAGTATCTTAAATATATTTTTTATAAGTAATTACATGTAAAAACCTTAAAACAAAAACTCAATGAAGAAAATTGGTTAATATTTGTCAATATATTAGGTTTTTTTATATTGAGCTCAATTAAGAGTCGATTTTGAATTTTTTTGATAATTTAGGTCATACCTATTTCCAAACCCTTTATATTTATGTTAAATATATTTTTTATATTTTAATACTTTTTGCACAACAAATTAATTTATATGATTCAGAAAGAACGAAATAAATTTTTTTATTACAACTGGTAGAGAATGATATTTGTAAAATATCATAAGCAAAATAAGAAGTTGGATAATTTTCAAACTAAACAATAGATTTAAAATTTTGAAACAAACATGTATATAAATGGATATCTTGCATGAACTATAATAATCAGTATAATACAACTCACTTAAAAGTAACGAAATATATATATATAAAATTTGTATCGTTCTTTCTAAATCATATAAATTAATTTGTTGTGCAAAAAGTATTAAAATATAAAAAATATATTAAACATAAATTTAAAGGGTTTGGAAATAGCCCCAAGTAGAAATATCCGTAGCTCGCCGTAATTAAACACCGGCATGGTACTGATCCAATACTGGCTGTCGGTACTGACTTTCAGTACTGGCAGTGTACTGACTAATACACCGAATCAGTACTATGTCGGAGGTAAAAAAATATTAAAACCAGTACTGGCAGTACACTGTCATTCACACCGAATCAGTACTATGTCGGTGATATAAAACATTAAATGAAAAAGTCTTCAAATTATTTCACTAGGTAGAAAACGATGATTTTTTATTTAAAAAAATGTATATTAATTTCTTTCGAATACTTTCCCTCAAAATTTTGGATGTAATTGTAATGTATTATTATATACCTATATAAAATATATTTATGTTTTTTTAGTTATTTTAGTACTCATTGAAATATGTGCATTAAGTTATTTATCATGCATGCAATAACAATAAGTTGAGAATTTTTTTCTAATAGTTTTAAAAATAAAGCAAATGTAATTTTTTCACTGTAATTTTTAAATATTATTAATAATTAAATATTAAATTTAAAAATTTTTTTACCATTCATATTTTACAGTCGTCTTTTATTAACTTATTTTTAATTATGTAATTCATCAATCATTTTTGTCTGTTTTAATATTATTTACGGTAAAAATAATTTATTAAAAATATTTAACTGAAATTGATATCCAGTTTTATTTCATTAAATCTTTGTAAAAATTGAAAAAATTTTGTGAGTTTAAAAAATTTAAGAATAAATTCATTTTATTTTCGTGATCAATAGATAATACAAACTTTGAAATCAAAACTTTTGTATTAGGTGAACTACTTCAAGTCAGCACATTTAAGCCAGCGCGGCTGTGCGGTATGCGTATCTGACTTGCGTTCTAAGGGTTTAGGGTTCGATCCCCCATGCGTGCGAGATTTTTCGTTCTTAGTTTTAAGTGTTATAAGTACAATATTTGTTCATGTGTAATATCAATTATTAAATAATTATTAAATTAAGTATAAGTGCAAAGTAAAAAAAATTAAATATTATGAATTTAAAAAAATAAAAAAATTTACAACACAAATTATTTTTTGTAAAATAATTTATTAAAAATAAAATAATTTAATTAATATAAATGATAATTATTATTTTAATTATTTATTGTTAATAATATTTTATATATTCTAAATAACATTAACTATTATTGGCTTCACATTACCTGTTCGTGGTAAAAATGGGAGTAATAAGCTAATAAGGATGAAATTTGCATTGGAAAGCGTGTTTTAGCATTTTGTAAAAAAGTGAGATTTTAAGTCCGGATGAGTACTTTGCCAGTATTATGCCAGTATTATTCTAGTACTACGTTAGTACTGGTGAGCGGGACAAAATCAGTACTGGACAGCGTTACCAGCCAGGGTTGGTCCACTACTGGCCCAGTACGGCAGTCAGTACTATTATACTGACTGGCAGTGTTGGGTCAGTACTATGCCAGTGGCACATTTCTACTTGGGAGGTATGACCTAAAATATCAAAAAAATTCAAAATCGACTCTTAATTGAGCTCAATATAAAAAAACCTAATATATTGACAAATATTAACCAATTTTCTTCATTGAGTTTTTGTTTTAAAGGTTTTTACATGTAATTATATATAAAAAATATATTTAAGA